CATAAAATAAGAAATAAAGAAAGATGAAATCCAAGAATAAGATAAAAGAAAAAAACAATAAAAGAAATAAAAGAAAATGAAATAATCCCAAAACAAGAAGAAAAACTAAATAATAAAAGAAATAAATAAAATACACAAATTAATTAAATATGAAATGATTCATATTTCATCAATCAATAAATGATAATTCTATTATCATTTATTTATCTATTTTTATTTATTTTTGATAAAACTTGTTTTGATGTTTTTGCTATATTGCGTTGATATTGCTGTATTATACTCTATTAAAACTACAATTGAAGATTATGAAAAGAATTCATTATTTTATCATTTATTTTCATATCAACACAGTCGTGTTAGTTATTCTATTTAATACTCTCTATCTTCATGATTATTATGAACTTCTGTATTTCAAACTTTTATTTATTTTATAGATGTTAATAAAATTTATTTCTTATAAAAATTTTTATGAAATTTGAATATAACTTTATTGAAAGTATTTTTCTATTGACTTAACTTCTAATGTAAACATATAAATCCAAAATGTTTTTACCGTTTAATATAATTTAAATCAACAACCTTTAAATATTCTCATCATCCAATTATTTTAAAAGGGATTACTAAAACTATATTTTTCATGTTTATATATAGGTTATATATATCATGGGATTATTCATTTATTTTAACTTTAATGCATAATTTGTAGAATCATATAAGTATAAAACTTATTTAATAAGTTAATTGTAATTTTTTTCATTAAAAAAAAATAAAATAATAACAATGAAAATAAATTATCCTTTAATTCCTTGAGAACCTTTATGTTTATGTGCGTCATTAATCATTTTACGAGCACTTGAAGAATTCTTTGAAGCCATTTTACGAGCACTTTGTATGAACTGACTTGCTGTTTTTGATAATTTTTGAATCTCACTTTTTGCCTTATCATAGTTATAAGGTCCTTCATCTTCCATATCCATCAAGAACAACTCGAAATTAGTTTCATCACTAATGTCAAGATAAGCAAATGTACAGAGTGAAAAAATAAGAAGTAGAGAAATCATTCTTTGTTTAAAAAATATAATTTTTTGTTTTAAGTTTTTTATTTTAAGTTTTTCTTTTTTTTTTTTAAATAATCATAAAACAAAGTTAGAAATAAAATATGTCAATTATGATTATTAACATATTGACTAGACTTTTATCATGTCGAGAAATGAACAAATCATTTTCTTCAATATACTTTATTTCTTTTGAACTGAAATTCTTTCAAATTTCATCAACTTAATTATTCTCCGTTTAAGTAACTATATCACCTTTCTTTATAATGTTGTTTTATGATGAAAGAACATATCCTTACCATTAATACTATTATGACTACTTTTATTCTTAATAATAACACGTAGTTCCTTTTTCTTTGATAACTCCAACAATTTATCATCAAATATACTTGTATCTTAACAACTGGATAATACAATCATCTTTATAGATGCACACCCTTTTATTATAGTAAATGATATTCCATAACCCTTAATAATCAATCACTGCTATTCTTGCAATATTACATAATATATTTTCTAATGAATAGCAACGTTATGAACAGAGTATAACGGTTGAATCAAAACTTGGATTTATTTTAATACTTGTATTATTGTTTATAAAGTTCAACTTTAGAACCATAATAACTGAAAAATATTTAAATACAAATTAATTAAATGAAATTGAAGTTTGTTTAAAATTACAAGATAAATCAATTATATAATTTAAAGTTATTTCAATTTTTATGAATAAGAATAAAGAAAATATAAAAAACAAAAAAGAGTATTATTTTATAAAATTAAATGATTTTTTAGCAATTAAAAAGAAATAAGTTTTATAACATAGAAAGATGTTCAAGAATAGTTAATGTCTCTTGATGAAAATTACCTTTATAATACTTATCAATAACATCTTTAAATAATCTATCTTTTGAGATATAATAAAATAATGTCATACACGATAAAACTTTTTGAACGTCAGTATATCCAAAAATATTAATTGGAGAAAGTGTACGTTTTTGATTAAGTAATATGGTAGTTACATCTCTTAGTCTGGATGACAATATTGGATGTTTTAAATATGCTTTTGCTTCATCTAGTGTTCGAATGTTATACAAATCATTATTTCTTCCTCCCCATAGTCCTTGTATAACAGGAAATACATACCATATCCAATGTGTTACTTTTTTTCCATTTTTTACTTCTTCTAAAGCAGTAGAAAATGTTTGGGCATGATACCGTGGAGTAACACCAGTCTCTTGTCCATCAATAAATCTTTGAAGATTAAAAGGATCATCAGTTATTTGGTTTGACATTAAAATGAAATAACACAGATTGGTTTTATTTTGTATGAAGAAATAATAGAGTTAGTTTCATTTCTTTGTATGTATCTTTATATTTAGGATTGACACACTAAAAACAGAATTGAATAATAATTATAAATAATAAATCATAATGATTAACTAAATAATAATGATTTAATATTTCAATATTAATTAAATTTATAATAATAAATAATAATAATTATGGTTATAAATAACATCATATAATTTAATTACATAAACAAAACTTTAAATGAAGAATAACGCGATCTAATTTCATGACAACAACACTATGTCAATTTGACCAATTTTGCATTTCAAAAGACTGTCCATTTCAGCATTCATATCCATTTAAATTAGAAGACTATCAAATACCAAAACAACCAAGGATGACAATTGATTTACCATGTTATTTATCAGAATGGAAATACTTAGAAAGGGCAATAGGAAATATAAAAACAATAGAAGATTTACAAAAATATATGGCATCTATGTTTACAAATGAAAAAGATAAAAGAGAAAAAGAAATTACTATTAAAAAACTTCCATCATTTAAAAACTTAAATGAAAATGAAAAAAGTATTATACAAAATGAATTAATTCCTTTATGTAAAGAAATGATTATTAATCATCAAAATATACTTTTACCACCACCTGTAATTTTATATAAAGAAGGTAAAGTAATGTTTACAAGAAAACAAAGTTTATGTTTAATTTCATGTATGTTATTTGGTTTATATTCATTGAAATTACGTAAAGATTCAAGAAAATTTAATGAATATGCACAATTTCCATTTTTCTTATTTCGTGAAGATTCAGTATCAATAACCATGACTCAATGTATTATTCATTACTTTCATTTAATTTTTAAAGAATTTACTAATGATAAATTTATGAATGAAATAATTGAAATTGAAAGACATTCATCCCAACTTTCATTGAAAGAATTATTAAATTCTAATAAGAAACTTATTCCTGGAGATGTTGATAATATTCATGGAATTATGGAAATTAATGAAACAGAAAACCTTAAAGCTGATTTTGCTAATAAATATATTGGAGGAGGTGTACTTCATGGTGGATCTGTTCAAGAAGAAATTATGTTTATGGAATGTCCAGAAATGTTTATTAGTATGATAACTAATCCAGTTATGGATGATCAAACAACTATTTTATTTAAAAATATTATTCGTTATGTTAAAATTAAAGGGTATGGGAGAGGCATTCAATTTAACAAAGAATTTGAACACTTAACTTCTAATAATATTGTAGCTTTAGACGCTCTTGTTGCTTATATAAATCCAAATGAACAATACAATGAACAACAAACTCTTCGTGAATTAAATAAAGTTTTTAGTGGTGTTGAATGTTTATCAGAAGAAGATCATTTAATTCCATTTGTTAGTGGTAAATGGGGATGTGGTGTTTTTGGAGGAGATTGGAGGTATAAATATCTTCTTCAGACAATTGTTTGTAGTTATGTTGAACGCCCATTCATATTTACTTCATTTCATGATAATGAAGCTCAATCTGAAATTGAACAATTTAAAACAAAAATTGAAAATGATAATCCTTCAATTCGTGATTTTATTCAATGGCTTGTCTCTTTCTGTTCTAATCATGAAAACCTTCCTTATCTCTTAACATCACCAACAATTCCTACTGCTAGTCATCCATTTAAACCTCAAGAAGAAATAAATAATAAATGCACTATTGTTTGAATGATTCATTATTCAAGGAATTTGCTTATTTGATTTTAATGTTTTTTTTTAATTTTTTGGAAATTGAATTTGAATGTTTTAAATACTTCTTCTCTCTTTTTATGAATTACAAAAATTTCAAAAAAAAATATTTATTTTCTTAACAAAGAATAGTATTAAATTTTGTTTTTATAATCAAAAATAAACAATATCAACAATTGAAAGAATAGAAAATATTCAATTAAAAGAATAAGAAATAAAGTTTATTACATTAGTTTTTATATAAACATAAATTTAAATAATTAATACTAAATTTCTAATAGTATTAAGTTATTATATAAAATTTTAATATATGAAATATTCAGCGTTAATAAAAAAGATAAAATAACAATAGATAATAGTAAATCAAATTGACAATAAGGTTGTTAATATTAAATTAAGAAGATAAGTAAAAAGAAAACTTAATTAAAATAAAGAATAAAAGAAAGAATATAAAATGAAAGTTAATTACAAAAAATAGGGTTTTTTATTTATTTCTATTTAACAAATTTGTATTTTTATATTTTTGGTTTTGATAAGAACAAAATAAGTTATAACTCAAAGTTATGCTGAAACAACCACAAGGAGTCAAGTTGTTAACAAATATTTCTGTAGTTAGATTAGTAAAAGGTGAAAAAAAATTTGAAATTGCATGTTATCCAAATACAGTTGCAGCATGGAGACAAGGGGTGTTTGTTATTAGTATAATTTACAATAAAGGAAATAAAGATTTAAAAGAATAGAGAAATGCCATTAAATGAAGTATTACAATTAACAAGAATTTATCAGTCAGTAGAAAAAGGAGAAGTTGCAAAAAAGAAAGATTTAAAAGAGGCATTCGGTAAAACAAATGAAGATGAAATTATATTAGAAATATTAAAAAATGGAGAAATTCAAAAAGGAGAGAAAGAAAGAAAAGTACAATTAGATTCATTAAATAAAGATATAATGATTTTATTAACACAAAAACTTATTCATAAAGAAACAAAAAAACCAATTTCTATGAAAATGGCAGAAAAACTAATAAAAGATTTAAAATATAATATCGTTACTTCAAAAACAGCCAAACAACAATCACTACTTATTCTTAAATTATTAAAAAAACATCCTGAAATTCCAATTGAAAGAATGCCTATGGTTATTTCTGTTGATATTACTAAAGACCTTGAAGAAGAAATTTTAAATTTAATTAAAGACCAAATTAAAAATCAAGTTATTAAAGAAAGTTCTGAAACAAGAATTAAATATGAATTTATTATTGATCCTAGTGCTTTTCATGAATTACAAACATTCGCTGATAAAGTAAAAGAAAAAATGTTTCTTGAAATTGTATCAGTTAATCAAGAAATGGATTAATTACAAATTTTGTATTTCATTTTTTTTTATTTGGTTATTTAATAATAATTACAATGAAATATCTCATAGAAATAGAAGATGATGATGAACATTAATAAAAAATTAATTTTGAATAGAAAGAAAAATACATTAATAAAAGAATATTTATTAATTATCTTTTTTTTAATTATGAATCTTAAAATACTCATTTATCAATGGTTAAAAAAGAAATCATTCAATGGCTTAATCAATTAAATCAAGATGAAATTAGTTATAAAATTACTGTACTAAATAAAATTATTGAAAAAAAAATTGATTTAAATGATTTTCTTGTTTGTTGTGGTGATTTTACAAGAAGTATTAGTTATAATTTAACATCTTTTAATGATGAATTATTATCACTTTCATATGAAGTAATGATTCAATGGATTTCAATAATTTTATCTCAACCAAAAATTCAAATTAAATATTATGATTTATTAATAATTAAATTTATTGATGGATTATATTATGCAATAAATGAAAGGATTCAATTTTATATAGATCATATTATTCCTTTAATCACAACTTCTCAAATTTTTATTACTCGTCATTTATCTCAACTCATTCATTCTCTCTCTTTTCATATTCAAACTCATAATAAATCAATTCTTCCTATTATTATAAAACTCCTCAATACAATTAGTATCCCAGATTCCCTTTGGAATGATTTAATCGTTTTTCTTTATCTTCAATATCATTTTTCAAAAGATCAATTACAATCTTCGGTTTTAGATCTTTTAATTCATTTATCATCATATAATCCCGTTATGACATCTAATTACATTCAATCTTTTTTAAAATCTCTTAAAATAGAAGATGAATCAATGTTTATGTATTTGGTTTAATTCAATTAATTGGTGATTAGAAATAGTAAATTAAATATCCTCATAACAATACTTTCTATTTTTTTATGTTTTAGCCATTAGTTGATTTTCATAATTAATTTTAATGGACTTTACGATTCTTTTCTTCTTTTCTATTTTAGATAACAAAAAAATCTAAAGAAAGTTTCATTTTATTCTTCCTTTTCTATTTTAATCTACAGATCTTATTTATCTTATTTTCGGTTCTCAATGGATGTTATCACTCTAATTTGTTCATTAGTTATTCTTGGTGCTATAGCAGTACTTGTTCGATTATATGCTGCTGGTGGTGTTAATCACTCTAAAAGAGATTTATCTGGAAAAGTTGTTGTTATTACTGGAGGAACCCATGGGATGGGTAAAGTTATTGTAGAACAACTTGCTGATACTGGAGCTACTATTATTTCTTGTTCAAGAAATAATGAAATTGCTCAGAAAGTAATTGAAGAAATTAAATCAGTACATAAAAGCTGTAATATTATTCATGAACATCTTGACTTATCAGATTTAGACTCAGTAAAAGAATGTGCAGAAAATATCTTAAATAAGTATCATGAGATTGATATTTTAATTAATAATGCTGGAGTCATGAGAGTTCCTTATGGAAAGACTAAACAAGGGTATGAAACTCAAATGGGAGTGAATTATCTTGGTCATTTTCTTCTTACACAAAAACTTCTTAGTGCTTTAGAAAAGTGTAATGGAAGAGTTATAAATTATTCTTCTGTTGCAAGTAAATTATATCATCGTAAGGAATTTCCATTTGTTGCAGAAGAAAAAGGGTTCTTCTCAATGAGATGGTATTGTGAAAGCAAGTTGTCTATGGCTATTATGGCTCAAGAACTTGCTAAAAAGAATGATAATATTATTGCTGTTTCTCTTCATCCAGGTTGTGTTAATACTGCATTATGGCAATTTTTCCCAGTATGGCTCCAATATCTTTGTTGGCCAATTCTTCAAGTCATTTTTAAGACTCCATTGGAAGGGGCACAGACATGTCTTCATTTAATTCATTCTGAATCAATTACAAATGGAGCTTACTATGCAGACTGTAAACCAGCAAAACATAACAAAATTATGGACGATAGTGATATATGCACAAAGCTTTGGAATGATTCAGTTGATGCTACAAAACAATTTTTATAAAATTGATTGATTGTCGTCGTTCATTGATGTTAATTTGTAAAAATAAATCTATTTTTTTAAACTCTTTATTCCTTTCAATGCAAAGTGTTACAACTTCTTTTGAAGAAATGAAGAGATTCAATTCAATTCTCTCAAAATGTTTTGGAGATAAAGAAATGATCAATCAGAATGACCTCTCTTTTATTGTTCATTTACGTCACTCATCAGAAACAAAGATAGAGTTATTAGAATACCTAGAGTCAGTCATATTTTCTCAGTGTGAATTTATTGAGTCTACTCATCTTAAAAGGACTCAGTCTTCTTTTTAATCATTGAACAATTTTTTTATCATATATTCCCTATTTTTCTTCATTTATAATAAAAATACTAATTCAAAAAACATTTACATTGGTTTTAAATTTAATGATTTATTAAATACTTTAGTTTTTATTAACAAAATCTACTTCTGATATTTATCATTCAATAAAAATTAATTCGTTGATTATTACATTGAATTAAAACTTTTGATGAAATACTTCAAGTTTATGATTCCTATTATTTGTTGTTATTATTACGTCTTTAATTTGTTTTCACAAGTTAATTTTATTTTCTTAATTTATTTTTTATATATTTCATATTTATTCAGTTATTAATATATTTTTATTCTCTAATACTATTCTTGTTAAATTGTAAGTTGAATTTATTAATTAATTTAGACATATATCATGTATCAATTATTAAAAATTGTTAATTGGCATTTTGTAGTAATACACCCCTTTAATTTATTATTTATTATAATAATAATGTCGTTTTATTTTTATTATGTTTAGTTATTATAATATTGATATTATTAGTTAGTTTATTTTTATGTTAATTCTATTTTTAATATCAATACTTATTCATAATTAACTAAAAATGGTATTAATAATGCATTTATTTCTTTTTATTATATCCCTATAACACAACGAACAAGGATATAATATCATGTGACACTTAAACCAGATTTTATACATACACCCTTTATTATTTTAATATATAAATCGTGTTGTTAAACTAATCATACTTCCTTCTATTTAAAATTAAAAATTATAACTTGTATTATATAATTTATTGAATAAACTATTTATGATAATTGTTTGTATTAAATATTTTTATTTTATAATAATTCTATAAAAAGATTTAAATTAATTTGGTAAACTTTTATCCTTTAATTGCTTATTAGATACAATATTTATTATAACCATTATTTTGACTATTAATGGTATATCAATAATGTTGATTTCATGTATTTTTGATTGTTCTGTTTTGTAATAACTCTTCCTGTTCTTATTTATTCTCTATTTACTTATTTATTCTATTTCTTTTTTGGTTTTACTGTATTAGTATGTAAGTTTATTTATAAGAATCATTCTAAATTAATAACAATACTAATATTGGATATTACTGTAAGTTTAATATTATTATTTTAATGATTTTATATTGTACTATTGAGTTATTTTTATATCATATTATATTAACAAATCAGTTGATTTAAGGTAAAATTCCCAGTTCATTGTCGTTAAAACTATTTTTTATGACATGTTTCAATTAACTTAATTTAGTTGTAAATAGTAATAAAGAGAAAATCGTTCATTACCATTTTTTTAAACCGTAAAAAACAACACATCTTTTCAAAATCAGATTAAATAAAAAGTGACTTGAAAAAGAAACAAAAAGGAATAATTTAATAAACAATCACATTAATTAGGTATTTCTGGTGCTTTACACTTTTCTATCACACAAGGGTCTTGAAGGATACTATTTAATTGGTCAAGTCCTTCTTCTGTCCAAGAACCATTTAATATTTGCGAAATTTCTTTTGTAGCCAATAATGCATTAGGGCTTTGAGGAGATTCTATTGTAGTATATTTTGATGTTAAAATAATGTCTTGGTCATCTACAGCACTGAGGCTCATTATGCGGCGAGTATTCATGACTGAATAATAAGATTTCTTTCATTGAGTTAAATTACTGTATTAATAAAAAAAAAGAATGGAAGAAATTGAAGGAGATAATTCTCAATTACTATACTAAAAAATAAAAGTTCAATATAATTTCAAAAAACAACGTTTAAATAGATAATATCTAAATTTGACATTTCTTGTTTTAGAACAACGTTAATTAAAAAAGAAGGAACTGAATTATAACTACTCATCAATGACAATAAGATCATTTCCTTTTTCATCATCTACCACAATTAAGTCATCATCTCCACTTTTAATCTCTTCATCCAAATGAATCACATTATTTTGAAGATTTAAATGATTTCCTGGAACGTTATTCATTTCTACAGGAAGATATAAAATAGTTAAAGTCATAACATAGAGGTTGACATAAGCTAATGTAGTCAACGTAATTGAAGCATTGTTATGATATCCCATAAAATTAGCAGCAATTAAAAGACACAAATACAATATAATTACACAAATGGTAAATCCTCCATAATATTTCAAACGTAATGAAACAGGTCCTAATTTTCTACTTTCTGAATAAGTTCGAATAATACCAAATACTAACCAAAAGATATAAATTACAATAATACCTAAAATAAGAATTGACAAAACAACATTTGCTGGGTCATCAATTCCCTTTAATGTAATAGAATAATTAGGTGTTGTACGGTTATACATTAACTCTGTAAAAACTAACATAAATAATGTTAATAATAACAATGCACGTGGAAGAATAAATCTAAATGATTTTCTTATATTTAATGGTTTACGTAAAGCTTCAAACATAGAAAGAACATAAAACATTAAGAAGCAAATAAAGAATGTTTCAATACCAGTATTAAATAATAGGAATGTTACACTATCTACTACATATTCATAAAAGAAGAATGGGTTATTAAATAATATTAATACAATATTTAATATAAATGTCCACTTTTGTTCGTGACACCATTGATTAATTGGGATACCTTTAATTGATGAAAGATATAACATACAACAG